GCTACGTGCCCCTGTCTGCATTCAGGCTAGCAACAGGCTAGTAACACCTTACGTAGCACCCAAAGGAGCCAAGAGACAAACCTTCCCTGGAGCCAACAGAGCCCTTCACTTGTCCATGCAATCCCATCTTTGTGCCATTGTATAAAGCTGTGTGCAGTTTACCCATCACTGCCCTGTTTCCCACCACCTGCAAATCCCATGGGGTGCTCCTGGCTGGCTGCTGGTGACAACCCTGCAATCAGCTGGAGATCTCCTCCCGTGCTGCACCCTGCTCCCAGACCACCTTCCTGACAGGCTCCTGTGACCAGGAACTCCAAAACATGCTGACCAGGCAATTTTCCAGGCTCCACTCTCTTCTGCACAAGTTTCTACAGCTCTGAGCATCCTGGATAGCAAAAGGCTTTGCTATTTTATTGAAAGTGGCTTCCATGCTGTGAGCACTGGAAAGCCAAATCATTAGCAGATTAATTAGGCACACAGCCAGAATTACAGCTAAAGATGAGACCTTAAAGTTTGCTGGAAGTGGATCCCTGGCTTAATACTTAAAGCCAGTGATGATACATGCAAGAACCAAACCAGACAAGCAGTCCCTCTCTCTCGTGGCAAAAAATCACACATTGAAGAGAGCACAAGGAACTCTGCAGCATCTTGGTGTGGAAAAATGCACCCAGTCTCTATCAGGTCAAGAACTGCTCAAGCACAGTAAAATGGATTATATATTCTTTCCAAATCTGTTGTGAATTATGGTATGTCATATATTCCTGATAACTGCCTAAATAAAGTCATATATTGCTGATAACTGCCTAAATACCCAGTTCTTTCCCGGATCTTATCAGGTTCTTGGTTTCAAACAGTCTTCCAAGGTGTACAATTAAATTGGTGTCAGAAAAAAAAAATCATTTGCATGTATTAATTTCACTGAACCTCCCTCCTTGTTTGTGCTCAGTAGGCTCCTCCATGAATATCTTTGTATTTACATTAAAAAATGAGACCATTTCTCACTTAAGGGCTGAACAAAATATGTGTTTGTGCCATGGGACAGCTCCAGACCCCTGCAATCTTTCTGAGATTGCTGCCTGCCAAATGGTTCATGTACACTTGTAATTTTTCCTGCTGACATTGCAGGCACCCAGCCTTCAGAAGAGGAACGCAGTAAATATTTAACAGCAACAGGTGTCAGATAGGAGCTGATCACAGGAAAGAGAAAACACATTAGCTGAAATTATAGCAAGTAAGTGTGCATGGGACACGGGAAAGTCTCCAGGAAAAGAGTGCAATATGCTGACTGCTCTTAGGTGTTTGTAAATAGCCTGTATTCTCACATCTTGCTGAAAGCAAACCCCCATCAGAGCAACCAGCATTTCCCCTGGTGCTTGATCTGGTATACAGCCATGAACTCACTAAACAAATAGAAGTTAATTGCATTTTCAGGTATTTTAGGCAGCAAAAGGCAAAAATCTCAAAGGGAGTTAGTTATGAAACAGAGCAGAAGAAACAGCACTCACCTTTTCTTCCAAGAGCTCCAGGCTTGCATAATCCCCTGAAATACAGAACATCTTGTCTTCTACTTCACAGTATCCATTTAAACTATCTCCCTCCTCCTGAAAAGGGGCCTGACTCCCTGGGCTACAGGAAGACAAAACAGAGCTCTCCTTTTAAAACTGCAGAGATCTCAGAACAAACACACAGGGAGTGCAGCCCAGGTATTCCCATTTCCATTCTGGTGTTGCAATTGATACCACTTCCCTGTGACTTTAGCCTGACAAAAGGAACACATTCCACTTGAGAAGTGTCAGAATCAATCACTTCAATGATCTGGATGTAAAACACACTTCCCTTATGTTAGTTCAACTTAATCCAGCCCAAATGCATAGAAGTTTTGCATTGGCCAGAACTATATTCTTATCAATTAAACCAATAAAAACCAGGCAAGCCCCAAGCAAGCTCCCTGTGTCAGTGAGTAGCAGGGCTAACAGGACATGGCTTCCAACCAACACCTTTCTGACTGCTGAATTTTGGGAAAGCTGAAGCTTCATCACTGTTCATTCCCCTCAACATGAGCTCCTCTGTGGGAGAGCAGCATCCCTGCACTGCCCAGGAGCTGTGCACCCAAGAAGGCAGATGCCCATGAATTCTCATTCCCAGCTGCTTTCCCTGGGACATGGATCTTGGCAAGTCCCAGCAAGCACAAGGGAGACCCTGGATTTTGCTCTGGCAATCTGTTTGCAAAAAGTGTCTGCTAAAAGTGAAAAAGGAGCCTTCCTGCTGCAGCCCTTGGAACCCACAGCCTGCAGTGAGATGGAACAGCCCTGCCAGAGAGCTGCAAACCTCAGCTCCCATGCCAGATCACAGAATCATGAAATATCCTGAGCTGGAAGGGACCCACAAAAATCACTGAGTCCAACTCCTGGCCCTGCACAGAATCACACCCTGTGCCCAAGAGCATTGACCAAACATCTCTTGAGCTATGTCAGGCTTGGTGCTGTGACCCCTACTCTGGGGAGCCTGTTCCAGTGCTTGACCACCCCCTGAATGAAAATCCTTTTCCTTACACCCAACCTAATCCTCTCCTGGCACAGCTGCATGCCACAGGGACACATCTCTGCATCACCTGGAATGACTTTGCTCCATAGGGACATACCTGATGTGTTCCCAGAGATGTCTTGGGACACATCCAAGCTTGCCAGGCAGATAAACCTGTGGTGTCCCATCCCAACACAGAGAACTGACTGGATCCAATTGAAATAAGGACTTGCTATCCTCCTCCCCCATGCCTCTTTAATCTTCTCATCCAATCAATATACAATTATTTTGGGTCAGTACATCACAAAACCACCTTTACTGGCAGAATGACGCATGTCCAGACACATCTGCATTATTACACAGGCCACAATTGTGCAAAAAACCCCCTAAGCTTGTTCTTCATTCCTGAAATCCTTTCCTCCTTTGAAAAATATATTTGGTGGTGGCATTTGGGTTTATTTTATTGCAAATCACAGGTGAACATAGAAATTATTAGATCATCACCAATTCTTTCTTGCAAGGAAAGTTCTCAAAGCTGCAGTGATGCATAAAACTTGGTTTAGACTATTTCCATCCAAGTCATACCTCTGGGATTCATTGTACTGATGGATTCACTGAAGTTTGGTTTGTGCAATGTAAAACATCAGAATCACTAGAGATGCTCACAGGCTCCTGCTGATCAGCAGCAGTGCAGAGTCCATGCTAACACTTTCCCACACAGTTTAACAGAGCAGGAATCCCTCCATAAAGCATCTTGGAGGCAGCCAGCAGAGCTCATACATCACAGGCTTAAAGGCAGAGAAATGGGAAATAAAGTCCTTAAAGCAGAGACTGAGCCAAGACTTCAAATTATATCCATCAGTACAGGACTACTGATTCAAAAGGGATGACTCAACTTCTAACAAGTCCCTTCCTCAAGGTCATGGGCTGTAGCAAAGAAGAGATCTGGGCATGATCCTACATGAAAGTACACCTTTAGCCACTCTCCATCCCTCCTCTTGGTATACATATTTTTGGTAAGTTTACCTTCCTAGGTAAACTTACCAAAAAACCACATTAATTGAAAAGGCAAGTGCGTGGATATCCTGCCAGATTTTGGATGTCCAAGCCTTCAAGCTTTTAGGTTCTAAGTACAAAACACTCTACCTATAGTTCATGAGACAGAAACATGGGCTCCATCAAAAGCCTTGCACTTACTAGCACAAAATTTCAGGAGTCTGGAGAGTAAATAGGAGAGGGATTGCTAGACAAGGGAGGAACAATCAGTGCTCCAGAATTTTTCTGTGGAAAATCTCAATCATATGGACTCAGGGAAATCATCAAGTTTAAAGAGTTAGAAGCTGTTTTGCTGCCATGGAAAATGTCTAGTGAAAACACAAAAACTATCTTCTCCTGAAAGCTGTGTCTCTTGGAGAGCATGGAGAGCAGGGACATCCAGGAGGGGTGGAAAGATAAACAAGGGACACAGGATGGCAGGTGAAACAGGTGAAAACAGAAGTGCTCCATTGCCTGATGGCTAGTTTACAATAATAAACACAATTACAAAGGGAAACCTTTCAGTGTGGGAAGATAACATCCAGCTGATCTCTGTTCCATTAGGGCACAGCTTAAACCGAGGAGAGGAAAAAAAGATCAAAGAAAAAGATTAAAGGAAGCAGTTTTCAATTTTAAACACAGTCTTAATGTGATGGAAAGGAAAAGTAAGAACAGCTGAAAGACACCCAGGGTCAGGTCAGGGAGAGATGCCTTGGCTGAAGGTACTGCGGTGTTTTCCGTACTTGTCTGCTTTATTTTTAAACACCCAGAGCTTTGCTTGAGCAACACTTCCTTGAACAAAAAGGAAGCAGAGGAGGAGAGAAGGGCTGTAAAGAGAGAAGTTAATGGGGTTGGAAAAATATGATCTCCCCAGCCATGAAAGTCAAAATTACTGTTTGAAACTGAATCCTCCTGGAGTACTACACAGGCATGGGGGAAAAGGGGAAGGGAGGGAAGGAAAGAAAGATTTATTACTTAAGCAGAACTAAAATTCTGATTTAAAAAAGGACCGTTCAATCCATATCCAAATTTCAGAACAACAGCAGATCTGAAACTGGGCTTGTTATATTTCCTTCTCCTTTGCATGCATAAAAAAGACAGGGAGGTGGACTGTGTTTTAAAGGGGAAAAAAGTCCCTTGATCTCATGAAGCCCTGAACTCTTATATTCCATTTATAGCTCTAGCTAGAATGACATCCCCCTTGATTATCAGGCTGTCCAATCCAGCTGCATGTGTCAGGACTGTATGAGGCACTAAGTGAAATATATATATGCCCTTACAGGGTTTAGCACATCGGGTCCACCTCCAGGGTACAGGCTGTAGCTCATTCTGACCACTGCTCCTCTCCCAGGAATCACTTGTTAAGTGGTTTTTGTTTGGTTTTTTTTTTAAGTTTTTTTTTTTTTTAGGGCACTTTTACTTTCCAATTTAAGCAACACAAAATGGCACCAAAGAAGGACGTAAAGAAACCAGCGGCGGCCGCGGCACCGGCGCCTGCGCCAGCACCAGCACCAGCAGCACCAGCCAAGCCCAAAGAACCTGCCATCGACCTCAAGAGCATCAAGGTAAAGGGGGGAGCATGGCCTGAGGGGCCCAGGGGACAGGGAGCACAGTCCTGGCTGAGAGCTGCTCTGAAGGCTGGCCTGGGCTTGGTTCCGGTTTGCGGACTGCAGGGCAATGAATGAGGAACCTCAGCCCGTGGATTTGCCGAGCTGCCCCAGCTTTGGAGTGTTTCAGTAGCTGGAGGGTGTAAGGCATGGTGCATGATTTAACAAAGAGTGAAGCCTGGGATGACAAATGTTGGAGTGTGGACCTCAGAATTTTTTACCCAGTTGGTACCAGTCTCACCTGTTTGGTAAAGATAAATTTAAAATAAACACACAACAAAAAAAAAAAAAAAAACCCCAAATACCCTAAAGTAGGTACATGAAGACAGGAACAGGATTACTGAAACATGAAATACAATGTTTTCCCATTGCACTGTAGGAAACCCCATCTTTTATAGTTTAAAATTATTTTCCAAATTTTTGAACCACCTGATGACCCTTTGGTCATGTGTTTTGAGATCAGTATGACTTATCTTTAAAAGAAACAAAACAAAATAGTTTTAAAAAGAGAGATTTGGCAGTTTTGCCTATTTTCTTTTCATTTGCACTGTACAACAGACATTGGTGAGACCATGAGCAAGAAAGCCAGGGATGGAAGCATTTCAACTGATTTCCTCTCATCCTTATATGTTTGCTGAGAATTTATAATTTGCTGCAAATTGAAAGCAACAAAGAGAAGGAGTCTTTTGGAGGTTTCCTTCTGACTGCACTGTCATTTGTTCTCATAATATCTTTAGATTTTGCATGTCAACCAACATCACTAACTGTTGTCCTGACCCTTTGAAGAAAACTCCTCCATTTTGGGAGATTCTTTACTTGGGAAAGAGGAGAGGGAGGCTGAGCAGTTAAGAGATGAAGAGACAGACTAGTTTCTCTAAGTAGGACTATAAATAGTTATTCTCTACCTACCTGGCAAGCTGATTGGTCCCAGGACCAATTTGCTAAATTCTACAGAAAGAATCATGCCTATTATGGGTAAAAGAAGGACAAAGACTACTAATAAGATCTATACATAATGAATTGTATTTCAGATACTTTAATACATATAGTCCTGAGATGTTAAGGCATTTAGTGAAACTTCTCCAAGTTTACTTTAATTTTCCCAATCTATAGTCAGTATTTTTCTAAAAAAGTATATATCTTCTCATAAGACTGAAGCCGAAGCCATTGACAAGAGGAAAAAAAAAAGACATTTTGAAATACTTAGAATTTTGAAGAATAGATGAAAAACCCACAAGTTTTGAGCATACTGTCTGAAAATTAGATTAGGCCTCACATTGGACTAGATGATGGGGAACCAAGCTAGATTTCCTGCTAAATAAATTAATATTATTTGATAGCTTTCTATCTCCAGTAATCAGAAGAAAATAGAATTTTGAACTCCCTTGAACCTAGCTAATCTATCTTTGTAAAAACAATAATATATTATCAGCTAAAAAATGTCAAATTGCACTCTGAGGCATCTTTGCAGTTCACTCACTTACCCAAAGGAAATAGCAGCAAGAAATATGCACTGGTAGAACAGAGAGAACTCTCCACGTTTTGTCATATTCAGACTGATAAAAAAAGATAGAATTTAGGGAGACTTTCTTTTGACAGATACCAGACAAAATATTTTCTGCTGGGGTCCCAACCAACCACCATGGATGGTTACCACTTTTCCCAATTTGAGAGCTCAGGCAGTGAAGGGAAAGAATCCCAGGTTATAAGTAATTTGTCTAGAATATGTGGCAGAGTCAGGAATGAGTTTTCTGAGTCTTAGCCCAGTCTCTCAATTATTTCTCAGCACTTCCATTCAAACACCAAAGTCTCAGCATGATAAAAGTTCCAGCACAACTTTGGAGGCAGGGAGTAGGTAAAAACTAAGGTTTTGTCTGGGACTCGGTGAATAATCCTGACCCAGGGCTGTTTGCAGTGATTTACCAGACATGGAGACAAAACCCACATCACTTTAAAAAAGGGGATTCACTGGGCTGTGCTTCCCTCCTCAGGGAATTAGCAGCCATGGCAGAGCTTGCTGCTTGAGAGAGGTGACTGGGAATGTCAGGCTGAATGCCACAATGATTTGGGGAGCCACACAGCAGCTAAATGCACAGAAAGGCTTTGTTAGCTTTTATAGACACATCCAAGCCCCTTGCTACAGCTGGGGTGGGTAAGGGGAGAGCTGGGGCTTACAGCAGCCAAATAAGCCACATTTGGCTGTGCACCTCATTCTTAGTTGGCATCAGAAGTCATAGGCTCCAAAACAAAGATGGTGGTTTACAAACATGAGCAGTGATTCTCTTGGGGGTACCTCCCCACTCAGACACCCTTCTTGGCCCATCTTCAGGGAATCTGGTTTTCTGGACTTTTTGGAATACATATTTTGCAACTTTGGTGCTTTTTTCCCTCCTTCCTTAAGAGAGCTCAAGCTGGGTTTGTCTATCACCATCAGAAGCTGTGATAAAGTTGTGACAGGCCATTGACTCTTCTCTGTTCTTCACTGATCTCTTCAAATTAACCAAATTGGAGCAAATGTTTGGTGATTTGCTAGTGCCAACAGCACCTAATATAAGATGTTCTATTTTTCAGCAACATCTAATGACTATAAAACTCAGTAACAGGAATATTGGTAGACTCAAATCTCTTTTACAGCTCACCTTGGGCTACAGTATAACAGCCATAGGAAGAAAGTGAAGGCAGGGATGAAGAACTTGCTTTTTAATGGAAATGTGAAGACCTATTTCCTTCTACTCAGGGAACAGCTTAAAAACTCAATCTTTGCACAAGCCTTTCCAGACCAAATGTATATTTCCAGTTTTCCTTATTACTAATATGTCTTGGATTTGTATAGGCACAAAAGTTAAAAATTAAATAATAACTGAGAAGAGAACAGGGCAGTGGAAACAGCTGAGAGCCATCACTAGGAACCAACCATGATTAAAATTAAAATTACCATATAGATCATTTTTCTTAAGAGACCCCCAAGAATTCTGCAATTAAAACTGTGGCCCACGACTCTCCTAAAAACACAGCTTATGTGTTTTATCAACCACCTTCTCCCACACAAGCCTGAGTGAGAAGAAATGTTTAACTCATGAAAAGCACTACTGGGGGTCTATTTCTGCAACAACTGGGATGAAACATGAATGATGCAGATGTCTCATGCTTGGTTTTGCAAGTGAGAATGGGAAATGGATAAACTTCCCATTGCACAAATCTGTATAGCTTAGTTCCTATAACCAACATGAAAAGTATGTTGGTTTTCTGGTGGAAATTTAAGGGTCTTTCCCAGCCCTTGGACAGAGCCCAGGTTCATAAAATCAACTAGGATGTTTTGGGATGCAAATGCTGAAGATGCTGAGGGCAGTGCTTCACAGGCTGCCACTCTGCAGATGGTGATCTGGATGTGTCCTGACCTGGTGTCACACTAGGTCCTTTACTTCAAGGATACAGCTGAGTATCTTCTCTTGAGTACAGACAGACACTGGGCAAGTGTCCACACTGGAAGTGAGGTTAGGGGCACACAAGGCTTCCTATACCTGTATTTTCAAGACTCAGACACCATGATGTCAATTATGCCTTGCCCAACTGCAGATCAGACACCCAAATGTGTAGAAGAAAAACAATTAAAAGCTACCAACTAGTAAAGACTTGCTAAAATCTTGTGTAACTGTGTGATGCATGATGATGATGCCTGTTGCATGGATTGTTTCTAACTGCAGAGCTCTTAAGGCAGTAAAAAGTGTTTCTCCAAGCATCCTTATTTCTTGTTACATTCACCACTTGAGTAGGTCATCTCTGAAGAGATATTGCTTTGGATTTAACCAGAGAGAGAGAGAGAAACTCACTAAAATGCACTGACAGAAAGCTCCTGGGCTAGAGGGCAAGCAGCACTGCAAATATCAGCTGAAGCACTTGGAGAGCTGTTGTGCTGCAGACAAACTCCACATGAAGCTGTGAGAGCAGGAATGTCAACAGTGGCTTTGCTCAAGAGTGCTAAGGGCTTTTTTATGAGACAACAGGTTTTTTACTTGAAACTTTTGGCTCAGGTCTTCAAATTGTGCCTCTATCTCCAGCTATGACTCCAGAAGGATTCCTTAGGATGGGTGATCTGCTGGACAAGGTCACCAGTCCCAAGTGTCCTTACAGGTAGGAAGGGGACAAATGTCAATATGAATTCAGACTTAAGAGATGTAAAGTTGCCTCTCTGATGCCATCCAGACCAGCTTCCTGCTACTGCTTTGACCCAGCACCATCCAGGATCCAGCCCAGGACAGCCCCAGCCCCTGGCTCTGTGGACCTCAGCACTGACATGTCACAGCCCATGCTGCTGCCAAACCCAGGACAGGCAAGGCACAGCACAAAGGTGTCCCAGGAGAGGCACCTTGGACAAGGACTGCTGCACACCAAACATCCCCTGGGCACACTGTTGGAAACAACACACAAAAACCACAGCTTAGTTTTGTTTACAAAGCTTTCAGAAGAATTTTGCCTTCCTAAACTGCTGCTAAGCAAGAAGGCCATCAAAAGTAGAGACTACCCACATATATTAGTAGACATTTTTCCTTAATGTTGCTAACTGGAAAAATTGTTTGAAAAATAATGATATTTTTTGTTTAATTTAAACAAGACCCATTCTTGGTAATTCACAGCTTTAGCAGCATTTTTAAAAGAATACCTGTGGCCTTTGGATGCTCTGGTGAATGGCAGACTTTGGTAGAAACAGTGGAAAGCAAATTACACAAAATGTAACATTTTAAGAGCTCACAGGGTAACTCCAAGTGTTAACAGGAATTATGAGGCAGAACCTTAGACCCATCAAAACAACCCCACAATATTTCTAAAATACTGTTTTAAGCCCCTTCAGAGCACAGAGATGTTGTAAAAGATAGTAATAAGATACCTGAGTTAATCTTACATAAGGCAAGAAGAAGGTGACAAATTTAGCCAATGACAAGCAGAGAAAGAAGTTGTCT